ATAAAAAACACACATGGTAAAATCAATACATTCATCGTTCCGCTCAGAATCTAAAATTACATTTAATGTTAAAATAATAAAGACAAAATTAGATATAAACATACAAAAAATATTGTAAACGTCTAAAATCAACTTTAAAGAAAATAATTTTAAGTTAATAGAACAGTTTAAACAGTAATTTAATAATTAGTTATTACAGGAAAAAATACAATTTAAAGTAGAAATTCTTATTTTCTACTTACATTTTTACCATTATGGAATTCACCACCAAATAGAATAATTTCATCTTTATCTGGATGTGGAACAAATGAAAAATTTGATCTCCTTGATGGATTATCAATTTTTGTTTCAGTCACTTTAATTTTTGACTTGTTTTTAGCCTCAATATGAGCCACTATAGTAGATACCTCAGGCTAAAACAAAATTAAAATAAATTAAATGTAGTTTAAAGTTAAACATGCATTAACGTTAGTTACTCAAGACAGAAAAATAAAAATAATGAATTTATTTTGTCATGGATGATGGATATACATATTCAGTGATGGACTGGCTATTTTTGGTCCAGGGTTTAAAATTAATTTATCCCGAGTTCTGTTTTTTTTAACTAAGAGTTCTTCATAACAATATGAGTTAATTAAGAAAGGGCTTGACAGTGGAGATCATAAATACAAATGTTTGGCCCAGCACTACTTGATTTGTAGCACCCTGGGCCATTAGAATTAATAAAACCAATTTTAGTTAATTATATTAATTATTTTATCATCCAAAATTAAGTRGTAGATTAAAAATGGTTGATCACAAATCATAATAATTTATTAACTATTATATACTTAAGAGATTAAAATAAGTCACTTAACTGATTTTTTTGTACTTCATCAGCTCCTACCTTAAATATAATATTATTTCACAAATATACCTCTCCAATTTTTCCTATATCTTTTTTGATCCTTTGAGCTATTTTTTTTTCTTTTTTAGCAGATGCTTTTTCGATGCGTGATGCTCCTTTTTTTTTATTTTTTCCCATTACGACTAATCTTTATTCACCTAAAATCGAATAGTTTTAAAAATATTAGATATAAACCTAGGTATAACAAGTTTAAATACCAAACAATAAGCTTTTAAACAATTTCTAACCAATAACTCACTTTTTAATATAATTATTGACTGGTGAATATAAAATCAATATTAATTTATGCTATACAGAACTAAACTTTTTAATTTGTCAGTTAATACTATCTACTATCTAGAAATCAAAAATCAAAATTCTTTATTTAAATTACTCAAAAAAAAAAGAATCAAACGATGACTAATATATTTTGTACTTTGTATTTGTAACCACGTTGTTTTGTTTACACTTTTAAGTTCAATGAAAATTTAAAATATAGATAAACTACATATTTTAAGTTAGGGACGGGTCTGTCCATGGCTAAATACACTGGTATGTTCTCAACTTCGTTCTGCGCATGTATGCTACGTCACTCTGTCCACATTATGCGAGAATGCGYGCCAAAATTTAAATTAATATAGTATTGTAGTAGGTTCCAATGACGATGACTGTCAAATAGTAATA